GAGTAAGGAGTTGAGTGCTGAAGAGACAAAACGGTTTAGATCTGGACTTGGATCTATCTTGTACCTAGCGCAGGACAGGATTGACTTCAGTATGCCTCAAAGTGTTTGGCATCAAGTATGTCGAAGCCGACAGTGCAGGCACTAAAGTGTCTGAAGCACTTGATTGTGTATTTGAGCGGAACAGCCACAAGGGCTACCCTGTTACAGTATACCGAAATCGGAAGCCGGTTGATCACGAAGCTGAATGGCCAAGAGGATGACGAAATAGTCAAGGACACCGGACATGTTGTGGAAGTGTCTTCGGGATTGGGCAAGTCTGAAAACACCTGAAAAGGCCAGAAGGAAGAGTACCTCATCAGGTATCATCGTACTGAACGGAGTACAAGTGTTATCGTTTTCAAGGACCCAGAAGGCCACATCATCATCAAGCTGTGAAGCAGAGTTGTACGCACTAAGTGGAACCTGTGGAGAAGCTATCCTAGTCGGAAGGCTATTTGAGTTCCTAATCAACACTCCTGTACGAGTGGAGATACGGTGCGATTCCTCATCTGCGCGGCAGTGGAGTCAACGAAGAGGAGTTGGACGTCTGAAGCATGTGGACGTTAGGCTGTGTCAACTGCAAGATTGGGTACGAGACAATCTTGTGAAGCTTGGAACAGTAAAGACTGCTCTAAATGTAGCGGACTTGAACACCAAGAAGTTGTCGTATGCCAGAAGGTCATTTCTATTGTATCACTTGTCCCAAGTGGAGTATGCCGAGGATGCAGTATTGAGTATACAGGAGAGAAAGAGTATCAAAAGTACGAACAGGAAAAGAAATTGAAAGAGTATGTCGGAAGTGGTCAGATCAAGAACCTGATCAGAGCAATACAGATTTTCCATTTGATGAAACCGACTACCGCAGTTTGGCTCAAAGGAGAAACAGAAGAAGAAGCCAACGTATCCCTTGGAAAAGGATGGACAACATGGAAGGAAACTTCAGCAAGTTTGAAGTTGGGATGATCGTATGCGTGCTGTTGTTGTCGACCCCCTACATCATCACGCTGTGGAAGAAGATGAAGCGGATGTTGGATTTGGCATTTGGACTTGGAAAGGTAAAGATTTCAACTGCGTCGAAAGCAAGAGTATTCCATAAGCCGACCTGTTACCATGTGCAGGGAGAAGCACGAGCAGGACGTTGGGAATGGAAGTAATTACGAGGAACAGGCATTGGCAGAAGGATTTCGCCATTGCTGGATATGTTATCCAGAAACCCGTCCTGGAGGAGTAGTTCAAAGTAAAGGACGTGGAAGACGCATGGAACCTCGTGTACAAGAAGACAGCGATGACTGTTGGGAAGTCATGGAGTATACCGTGGAGTCAACTTCAGGATGTCCGAAGAAATGCTACTGGTGCGGAGAAAGGAAGTGTACTCGTGAGAAACAGGACCATACTTGGTGTGCATGTGGGCCATGCATATCGGAGTACGCGACGAAGAAGTGGAGGATGGACTACGACCAGACAAAGGAACCTCCCAAAGCTCAGGAAGCACCAGAACAAGGAGCACGTGGATCTGGAGAGTCAGATCATGGATGGAATGCCGGAGTGCAGCGCCGGAACCTAGGAAAAGGATCTCTGAGAAAGCGTGGAAGAGCAGCGTTGGGAACGCCGGATATCGTACACACGGATGGAACAAGGATGCCTATCATAAGTGAGGAAGACTTTCGTCGTGGAGGAAGAATTCTCTCTGGGAAGAACAATGCAGAGAATCCGGCAATGATGGAATTCCGTGGAAAGATGATGACAATGGAAGAAGTCGGAGAGACGGTCATGGAAGGCGATTGCGTAGCATCGTATGAGGACTACTGTGAGAGACAGAACCAGGAGCAAGGAAAAGAACCGGACAAAGATCCGGAACCTGGCACCCCAGACAGTACGGAACGTCGTACTGAGGGACCCCTCGCCTGAGAGGACGGTCACCTGTATCCGTAAGACCTACGCGGAGTACATGGTTGAGAAGCAGCAGTGAGTGTATGCCAGAAGACAGAAAGAAAAGTTCCACCCAACGAACGTAACGGCAGAAACTCCAAAGAAGGAAGAGCGTCAGCGTTGTTTCACTAGGACGAAATACTTGTTACTGTATGAACGTCAGGACATGGACGGTCTGACAGACCCCATAATTGGGGGCAGGTCAAAAGGTGGGTTGCGTGGAATGTTTAACCCAGGAGCTGTGGAGGCAAAGCCTGAAACAGTCAGGGCAGGAGGTTGGCCCGACCGCGGACCGTTGCAGCAGTACAGCACAGGGACTTCGAGGCAGGGTGTTAAGATTTGTGCATAGAACGCCCACACCTTTGGAGAGCCTAGGCTACGGCACATAGAATGTCATAGAACGACTATGCAGCGCCTTTAGCTTAAGCAGGAAAAGCGTGAACGCTCAGGGTCTTACAGTTTAACTCTATCAGTGGGCAGCAAGGATGGTCAAGGTGAGTGGTGAAGAAGAACAGATAAAGACTGTACTTGTTGCAACATGGCAAGCGAGAGTGATGAAGGTGACGAAGATTATCGAGATGATGAACTGTTCAAATTGTATGAAGACCGAGACATTGACAAGATCAATGCTGAGAAAGCAAAGCCAGGAGAGAACATCGTGAGATGGTGTGAGATCAATCAAGATTGGATGGTGAAACCATTTGAGATTCCAAGTCAAGGTTTTTCAGATTCAGAAGAAGAGATAATTCTCAAGCAAGATTGGATGGAGAAACCAGTTGAGATTCCAAGTCAAGGTCACAAGATTAGAGCAGTGAGTGCAACGTACTCAGAGCTGGTAGAGGTCGTTCTCGACAGTGGTGCAGATTGCCACGTGTTACCTCTGGCGTACTATAGTGAAGACTCAGGTAGAGTTTCCAGCGTTGAGAATGGTTATTCAAGATGCTCAAGGAAACAGGATCAAGCCCACAGAGACAAGGGCGAACATCACGTTTGATTTTCAGAGAACAGATGGAAGTGTGATAAAGGTGAGAGACTCAGCTGTGTTCGGAGATGTTACTCAACCATTGTTTTGTTGTAGGCAAGCTTTGGAAAGTTGGATGGGGACTCGACCCCACAGATGAGTGGAATGCGTATCTGAAGAAAGGAGCGGCAAGAGTGCCAGTCAGGCTTGTGAGGAAATCTACGGAGCTCAAGTGAGAGAGGTGACTGAAGAAGTCCAGAAGGTGAGAAAGCTTACGTTGACGAAGCAGTTCTGTGGAGTTTCCCCTTAACAGCGGTGCGCGACACACCTCGCATCACACGCGAACGCTTCGCGAACGCTTGCGGACGCTTGCGGACGCTTTGCGGACGCTTGCGAACCCTTCGCGAACGCTTTAACAACGGTCGCTGGTCACTTGCTGGACCCCTGGACCCCAACCTTTAAAACGGGAACCCTTCTGCAGAGCATTCGGGAAAAAGGGCACCAAGATGAAAGAGGAAAAGAAAAGTGACAAGAAGAAAGACGATCGCAAGAAGGACAAGAAGGATGAGAGAAAGAAAAGTGAGAAGAAGAAGAAGAAGGAAAAGATAACGGAAAGTCCCGAAAAGCGGGGACGAAAGGAAGCTGAGGACAGCGACCATCTTTATTAGGTGGTAGTGAGGGCAAAAGGCCCAGGACGTCCCACAATGCGAGAAAGGAGGAAGCTTGTGAGAAGGGAAGTAAGTTGAAACAGACTTACAAACGACAGCGAATGTACTTTTGAGCTGAAGAGGATGCCGCGTACAAGGCTCCTGAAGCACACGTCAAAGCACTACGATCACGTTTCAAGTGGAAAAAGCCAAAGGCTATGTCGTTCTATCGACAACCACAACGAGCACCGCAACGTCAGCGAAAAATGAGTGCGACTGTCAGTGAGCGTAGGTTGCATATGGTCAAGCCTGGGATTGTATGTTTCACTTATCAATTTTCAGGACATCCACAAAGAAGAAGGCTCAATGGAGCATGCGATAAATGACAAGGCTCTGAGTCAGCGTGAGACAACGGTGAAGTGGATGGTAGAAAGTGTTTGAAGATCGCATCAAGTTGTACAATACAACCTGAGTCGATGAGGGCGTAACAAACATTTCACTTTAGTTGGTATGCCCAATTTAGTATGCTTCACTGCGTTCTCCGTAGGTCAAACGACGGCTCAAGCCCAGCGGGAAAATAGTGTGGGCCGCCCCGTGTGTTGACAAGGTTTAGAAGTTGACGTTGGTAAAAGGTTTTAAACTTTCAGAGGGCACTGCCAAGTGAAAGGCACTGAGCAGCCGATTAATTTAGGGGTGCCTTGTGAATGCGATTGTTTTGCAAATGTGAAGTTCTTCGTGAAATGTTGAATGGATTTCTTCCGTGGATTGCAAAGAATGAAGTTCTCGGATTCAGTCGAATGTAGCATGAGCCGACTGTCTGCAATTCTCACTGTGTACAGTGCAAGCCGGCCTCCGAATGCCGGCTTCGTCAAGACTCGAATGTCATCCCGAATTCCGGAATGAGACCAATGATCCTTTCGCTGCTTTGATTGGTGACTGTCATAATTGTTGCTTTTGATCGCTTCGAGAATGCCACTACCAATGCTCGTTTGTTTGATTTGGAATGGTCTTCGACTGAAGTCAAGATCAATGGACTCTGTTAAATGACACGAGCCCAACGTGCACCCGAATGTTCTTGATGCATTACAGAATGTTACGATGCCGAATGGCATTGGCTCAAGACTGGACCGAGGCTGGATGTCACAAAGGAATGTCTGCTTGAGTGTGATTGGGGAAAGTGATTGATCTTGGGTTACTCCCTAGGACTGACTTGTATTGTTGAAATTTTTCACTCTCTCTTTCGCTTCCTTCGCAGCCGATCCCACCGCGAAGCACTAAGTGCGTCCAGTGCTGCCTGGACTGCTTCCGACAGATCGTTGAGTTCCTGAACAAGAACGCCGGCACCCTTATTAAGAGTCGCAGCTTGTGTGGATATCAGAAGAGTGCTCTCAGCGGGTGGTTCTAGCTGAGAGGCCTACGTGCACATGGCGATGAAGTCCAGTGACTACTGTGCATCCGCCAGGTGAGAGAGAGATTCTTCTCTGGTGGAGATGTGTGCGTGTGTGCTGTGCTGCTGTGCTGTGCTTTTTGCAGGGAGGCTGTGTCCGTGATCGCGCAGTCTGGGCCCCTTTGGAGAGGAGTAGAGCCCGGGACCACGTTGACACGCCGTATGCCGGTCTCAGGCTGCCGGTGGCCATGGCGGTGCTCAACGGCGCAACGCTGGCCGGGGGGGGACCCGGTCCGCTCTGCTCTCTCTCTGCTCCTTTGTGCTCTATCTGCGAGGTCTTCACCTTCTTCGGCGGACTCTTCAGTGTGCTCTGCACCTCGGCTTTCGCCTGAAATCCAAAGTCCGGAGATCGATTGAAAGAGAACTGCCGACGGCGCCATAGTAGAAGCGGTGGAGCCTGCGGAGCCCGTCAAAGCCGCCTCGAAGACTCGCCCAAGGCCGGGCCAACGGCGAAAGGACTCTGTAGCAAAGTCCTTGTTTAGCTGAGCTTAGCTCATGTCGAGAGAAAACGCAGGCCCCAGCACTGACGCTATCCGCTTAGCGAGCGGATGCCCGCACACTGGCGTTGTTTTAATTGGCCCGATGTATGCTCAGTTCCCAAGAGCTCAGTGTCCAATTCGACCCATCGCATCTTTCGCGTCCCTTGGTGTACACACGCCTCAGCGAAGTGCGCTAAGCCGCTAACTCACCTGTCTACTCTACTCCGCTAGTGAAGGTGGTTGTACTTGCAGCACCTGCGGTGCAGTGTTGCATGGCTGCTGCTGCGCTGCTATGCGGCTTGCTCCTATGCCCAACCAAATCCTAATAAGAGCTCGAAGGTCCGAGCCAACTTGCCTTCATGGACGCACGTGGAGCTGCGGCAACATGTGTCCTTATACTTGCTGGCTGGCCAAAGCTATCAGCAGGGCTTCAGGTGAGTTGTAAGGTCCGCACCACCTCTCGAATAAAGAGAAGGGAAGCTCCGCGGGAAGCCGCGCAGATGGTCGGCAGAAGATGTCGAGCCGCCCCTCGTCCCATTTCCATCCTTTGTCGACAACGGCCTCCCTCTGGGACCCGGATGGGGCGAGCCACCTCTGCTCGAGGACTGAAGAGGTCCGAGCTCTTCCGGCACGCTGCGCTGGAATTAACCTTGCCCCTGTATTCCTTGCTTCTCGAAAAGCCGATCGACAACGTCGAACATGGACACAAGCCTACGATTGATTAAGGCACGTCGCGTGGCCAACGGTGATCTGAAGGGAAGGTCCTTAGGCGTGGTTCCGTCGAAGTCCTCGGATGCGAGACGCGAGCATCATGCCCCAGTCCTAGCGGCCCCTCTGGCGCAGTAGCAAAAGCTCCTTGCCATTCAAGCGTTTGCTGACCTGGTCGAGGGCTTCAGAGACCACTTGCAGTTCTATGTCGAGCCTATTGCACACCTCCTGTCCGCGCGCCTTAGCAGCGACACCAACAGTATCCGCGGCCTGCTTGCCGGTCAGTCGTCGGGACACAGCTGATACAAACTGGCCCAATGTGTCTTGGTGGCAAGATTTTTTGAACAGAGGATCTAATGGTTCATCTCGAAATCCTTCGAGGACCAATACCTGATGTTTTTCCCCTGTATCTCCACCCTACAGGTACAAGTGCCCATCAGGGTTCACACACAGAAGCCGCTCACGCCAGACTGTACCCAAGTACACACCATGCCCAATGACAGACAAGATCGGCAGAAGATGGGACGTTGTTACATCGTCCAGCCTCCAGGTCCCACACACTGCGATCTACACAGCCGAACACATCAGAACTACCTAGCGGCTACTAGCGGTTCTTAGCGGACTCCAGGCTAAGCAGAAGATCTGAAGTCAACTCCTTGCCCTGCGCTTGCCCTGCGTCAGCGTCGGTAGCAGCAAGTTTTTTCACATCTAGAGTGTCCTAAAGGAACGAAGGAACCCCAACAGAGATATCCGCTGCGATCTGAATCGGTTTGCCATACCGATCCACCCAATCCCAGTAGCCCATCGACCAAACAGGTGCGCATTCGATTTTAGATTGGTCGGTCTAAGGCATCAAGCTAATCAAACCCGCAGTTCCTCGAATCGCTAGGATACTGCCTCGAAAGCAGGGGCAATAGGCCAATCCACGACCGTTCAAAACGGCAAGAGCATTCAGCCGTTAAGCGATCGTTGTGCCAGGCTTCTTGAAGGCTTCTACCGTTTAGCACGTTCCCGTTGCTGTTGATGCTGATGCCCTGCACGTACGTGTTCCAGACGGTGCGACTCGCAGAGATGAGAGAAGAATTCCTTCGAACACTATTAGATCCGGAATCGCCGGATGCCCGTAGGACACATGTCAGCGGACACACCCGCAGCCGCCGGGGGATCCGGCGTGCATGTTGTTTCCTTTGTCTAAGGCTGCGCCGCAGTTACGTTCCTGCTCACCAGCACGCCCTCCTTCTCGGCGCCAGACGCGCCGCTGCTTGGACCGCAAAACACCGCAAGCCTCCCTTCCCGCTCCGCTTTCCCATCACTTCGCCAGCTGGCAGGCTCTTCGTCGACCAGCCGGTGGCAGTGGCTTGTGCTGCCGGTTTCATCGGAGGTGCTGTGTCGTTGCACCTCGGACAAAGTGCCGCGTCATGCGCAGGTTTTACAGCTGCACACCAGAGCCGTCCTGTTATCCAGAGCCGCTCAGGTGCTTCATGGCCGTCTTTGACATGGCCACGGATGCCTTGCTGTACTACTATGGTAGCTGCCACAGCTTTTGCCTCGCTCCTCGCTGGCAGCTGGCAGTGAAGTCTGAAGCGGAGGCCTGGACTGGCTCTATGGCCGAGGAGGCGAGTTTAGCAATGCACCGGATGGTATCAAAGTTGGGACCTGAAGAGAAGCCTGTCTGAGCAGAGAGCTGTAACACAACTGACAGCATTAAGGAGCTGATGCACGGCAATCGGCACTGAAGGGCAGCTGCGAACAGTGCCTCCTCTCCGTCTCCGTCTCCCTGCTTTCGCTCGCCGCCCTCGGCCTCGGCCCTCGTCGCTCCCAATTTGTCTGCAAGCAGAATGCCACGCACGCGCCTCGAATGCATGCGCAGCGCAGTGCTGCAGCGCTCGAGGCCCCTTTCGGGGCCCCGCAATTAGTGTGTGGGAGCATAGCATAAGTCTTATGTGCTCAGCCGCCTGCACAATTCGACCTGCAGCGAGCCTCAGCACAGGGAGCGAAAATTGGGGGCGAACTGCTCGCTTCATTTGGCCTGGAGTCGAGTTGGCTTGGCTCGGAGCTGCGAGCTGCCATTTTGGTTGTTGGCTCTCAAGGCATTGCAATGGAACGCACAGGTAGAGGAGTTATGCGAGGGGTCTCTCAGGCCGTTTCCACCTCTACACAGCTCAGCTCAGCACCCGCTACCAGCCGTACACTACCCGGTCACTACCCGCTATCTGTATCTCTCTTGGCCGCTAACGGTCGTATCTGCGACCGTTCGCCATGGCCAATGGCAGTAGGAGCGCAGACGAGAGTGAAGGGAAGGGGATTCAAAAAAACCCATGTGCACATATCTTTAGGTATTTATGATTTATGTATTAATATGCATATGTATATATATATATATATATATATATATATATATATTATATATTATATATATATATATATATATGGTCACCCCCCAAGATATACGCCCGCCTCTTCCACACAATTCCACAGGTTGCTTCTCTACATTGGTCGACTACTCATATATGCCGAAAACACCGTAAATACCGATACAATCGTGCTTTACTCCATGTGCATGCGAACCGTGCTGCTACAAGTCGCGGGTTTGATATGTGTAAAAATCTGGCGCCGAATCTCGGCCGCAGATTTATGGTAGTTTATGTGTTGGAGAAGCTGAAATGCTGGAGGGCATGTTATTTTTGTTCATGTAATACTAAAAAATCTAGTGTTTTTTGCGTTTTATGGTGTGTTGTTTAACAACATTCCTCTAATAAAAAATACTATTGTCTCTCTTTCGAAGACGTCTGTGTGCGTAGGCCATCTCTTTCCCGCTGCTCGTGAAGCGTCCGATTCTGATGCGGCCTAATAGCTCTAGCATTTGATTTATGAGTCACGAAACACAAAGAGCTCCTTTCATGTCTTGTCCATTATACATGAAGGAATTCGAATATACGGGCGCGTCTATTTTTGAAACAATAGTCCAATAGTTGTTCTTTGCCTCATACAAAATGGGAAAGCTCCCCCCTGGAGTTGAATCACTGCCTCAAAGCTCACTTTTTCTGAGCATAGCAGTGTTTCGTTGCCTGAACCTCGCAAAGCACTGGAAACTTGAACATAGCAGTGTTTCGTGGCCTAAACCTTACAAAACACTGTAATGCTCAAAAAACTCCAAAATTTCCAACCCTTAAACTCACGAAACACTGTAATGCTCAAAAAAATCCAAAAATTCCAAAATTCTGTCATCTATGGCCAGGCCGGGGGCAGATTCCTTAAAAGTTTGGAATTTTTTTGAGCATAGCGGTGTTTCGTGCGTTTCAAGGCTTGCAAAAGTTGATCTTTTTTGAGCATTACAGTGTTTCGTGGCTTTAACATCACAAAACACTGTAATGCTCAAAAAAATCAGCTTTTCACTGCTTCAAAGCTCACTTTTTTTTGAGCATAGCAGTGTTTCGTGGCCTGAATCTCACAAAACACGGTAATGCTCAAAAAAAGTCAACTTTTCACTGCCTCAAAGCTCACGAAACACTGTAATGCTCAAAAAATTCCGAAATTTTATAGAATTTGCCACCGGGCTGGCCATACATGATGCAGGGCTGCCACCCCCCTCCCCCTCCCCCCCCCCCATGGTATCCCCCCCTTCCCTCCCCTGTGGTGTCCCCGCCCCGCTGTGGTGTGGGCACAGGTGCTTTTCCCCCCCCGCTGCCCCTGCGGTATCCCCCCCCTCCCCTCCCCTGTGGTGTGGGGTCCCCCCGCCCCCCCCCTGTGGTGTGGGCCCTGTGGTGCGGTATCCGGTGGTGCTCTGCATGATCATCATCATGAACATGAACATGATGGTCCCCCTGCCCCCCCGTGGTGTGGTGTGGTGTGGTTCGGGGTTTGGGATGGTTTGGGTCTGCGTGGGGTGCCTCCCCCCCCCTGTGGTGTGGTGTGGTGTGGTTCGGGGTTTCGGTCTGCTTGGGGTGCTTTGTATAATCATCAGCATCACCATCATCATCATCATCATCATGATCATCATCATGAAAATGATGGTCCCCCTGCTCCCCCCCTGTGATGTGGCGTGGTTCGGGGTTTTGGTCTGCGTGGGGTGCCTCCCCCTGGGTCTGCGTGGGGTGCCTCCCTCCCGGTGTGGCGTGCTTCGGGGTTTCGGGACCTGCTTGGGCTGTTTGGTATAATAATCATCATCACCATCATCACCATCATCACCATCATCACCATCACCATCATCACCATCATCACCATCATCAAGATCATGAACATGATCATCATGATCATCATCATGTCGTTCCTTTCTGTTTATTTATCTTGTGTCACACTGGCAATCTTCCTGACAATTGGGCACAGAGATCGGGCCTGTCAGGGACGCGGTCCTGTTCACAGTTGCCTGGGTTCGGACGGAAGGTGTCCACTGTCACAAGGATCGGGCGTGTTTGGAACGCGATCCTCGTGACGGTTACCGGTTGTGGTGCCTTCATGTGGGAGACGTGCACGGTGAGGGGCGCCGTCCTCGTGACAGTTGATGGTTTTGGAGCCTTTACGTGGGATCACAGAAAAGGCCTCCGGGGGGGGGGGGATACCATGGGGGTGGGGGGTGAAACACTGAATGTTACACATCCAGGTGCCTGTCTGTTTCACGTATCACTTGCATGTATCCATGCCTGTTGCTCAAGGTTCTAGTGCAGTGGACTACAGCTGTGCGCCTGTAGCAAAAGAGACACCTGAGTGCCTGTGTTCCTGTACGCCTAGCGAGGGGATACACGTCCAGGTTACATCTCAACGTGGTAGCGGAGCTCCCGGGAAACGGGAAGCTTCACACTTGTGGAGGTACCCGTTCGGTACTCTCTACACAGGTTGTGCTTCATGAAGAGTTGTTGGTCTCTTTTTAAATTTGTGCCTGCATTGCTCAAATCAGCTGGTTCAAAACTCAAGTGAGAAAGTAGCCCACAACTTCCTCTTCTTCTGTTACCAGCATGGCTGCGGCAGGACCCTCGATGGACACTGGACGCTCCTCTCATGAGGAGGCACCATTCCAGGTCTACTGGACACCGACAACGGGATGCAACTTCAAGATTGACGTCCGCACTGGTGTCCCCGACCTGTCCTTGTACCAACAGAGCGCGTCCTGGGCAAACCGTCGTGTACTCCGAACAGTTGGAGATGGCGACGGTAATGCCAGCTATCCTACAAGGGATCGTCGAGCCTATCCTGCGAGTGCTCCGGTGGCCTCCCTCAGGATCATCCCAGAAGGTGTTCCACGGTTTTTCCGTCAGCAGGACACCACGGCGTACTTCCCTCAGGGGGAGATGGCCGCGGTGAACATTCTGGAAGGACAGTTGGCCTTTCTGTCACACGTCCTGCTGTACGAGGAAACTCACCCTGGGACCCATGTGTTGCAGCGGCACCTCACGTGGAAGTTCGACTTCCTCCGGTGCTTTCTTGGATGTCTGACCGGCGACGAGCTCACCGAGCTCGATCGTGAAATCTTCAACATTCACCAGATGCGCCACAATCACGGTGGATGGGCGGTGAAGTCATCCAAACAGCTGTCATCATTGACCAGGCACGACACGAGGGTCACGCCGGGTCGATACATGGAGATCCCGTTGGAGACGATGATGAAGCACCCCATCAGGCCTTTCGAGTGGGAGCCCAAGAAGTTCTTCGCCTTCTTGATGGCGAACTCGAAGGGTCGCTTCAACATCTGGGTGGCCCCGGTGGCTCTGCAGTTCGAGCGGTTCTTTGACTTCGACTTCTATGTCGGGGTCTCCGCCGTCCAGGGTCACTCACGGATGCCCGAGCGGGTCTCTGATGTTGCTCTCGGGGAAAGGCTCACTTTGGAGCGATGCCGCCAGCTTGGAACGATTTTCCACGCCTCGGATAACTCCAACTACGAGAGCATCCGGGAAAACGGCTTAAAGCTGGAGGCGACGAAGGCGGCGTGGCAGCGGCACAGGAAGGCCATCCACCTCGTTTATGCGGGTGGAGTGGTTTCTCCTGGGGCTGGGACCGTCATTAAGTACGGTACCTACGTCTTCTACGCCAAGCTCGATTACGAGTGCTACCTGAGTCACGGCCACAATCTGTTTCTTACAGACAACGGCGTGGTGCTCTCGTACCAGGACATTCCGGCGATGTATCTCACACATCACTACCGTCCTCCTCACGAGCAAGATCCGGGTGGCATTCGCCACGAGAGGAAGCAGCAAAGCGCAGGGGTAGGCTCTTCTCAGGAAGAGGGAACCTCAGCGTCTGCTTCCGCATCTGCTTCCGGAGGCCCTCCACAGGGAGGGGTACCGGGTAGCAGCTCGGATCCAATGCCTTCGAAGCCAGCTCCCAAGAAGCGGCCAAAGACATCTCAGGATGCAGGCCAAGCGTCACCGGGAAGCTTCTCTCAGGAGAAGGTACCCACATTGGACGCGGCAGCTCTCCAGAAGCTTATTCGTGACAATGAGCTTAAGGCAGAGCGGGAGCGGCAAGCCACAGCCTCCGAAGGAGACACCAAGTATGCGTATCAGTCTGGGGACACCGTCCACGGCAAGATTGATGCGCATAAGTCCCAGCAGCAGGAGGAGCTCAACGAGGTTCTCCGCAAGGCCAGGACGAATCCATGGCATCTCTTCGCGCACGGCAAGTTGCACATGGTGGACTCCTCTGGCCAGCCGATGCTTAGCACCTATGGCGATGCCCTCGTTCAGGTCACCCCCTGGCACACTTTGACTACTTCTATGAGAGAGTCTTTGGGTGGTGAATACGATTGGGCATCGTGGTTGCAGCATCCTCTTTCGGGGTACTCCCTGCACTTCTTCCTCAAGGCCTTCGAGATGGGGAAGTTGCAGGGGAACTACCTCGTGGAGCTGGACAAGAAACCGAAGGTTTACTCCAACGGTTACACGTCACCTTGGATGAACTTTAAGCGTCATCCTGGCGGTCTTGCCCAGATGCTGGACGATGTCTCCGTTGCCGCGTCGAACGAATTCAGGCCCAACTTGGGTAACATTGGATTCGATCGCCCTCGGGACAATGACTCTCGTGCAAAGATGCCAAGGACAGAGGATCCCGACTACTCTCGCAAGCTCGCCGCACACAAGGCTTTCCTCAGGGAAAGGTATGTGTATGAAGAGGTTGGCTATGTGCGAGAGGATTTCCAGATGCTCGTCCGCGTCATCAATGAGGCTTATGGAGTGGACTTCTTCTCCTACATCCAGCGCCACGCCGGTGATCTGGAGGTTCGCCGTAAATACACGGTGCGAACCCCTGAGGGCTATTGTCTCTATGACAGTACCCTGAAGCAGCC